TCAGCTTTGTGGCTTTGTAGGTTAACATGCCATCTTGACACTGTCATTACAAGTAGCCACCAGTTCAAATCCAGGGTGTTCTAACTGCTAATCTCTCTCCTTGATAATAAACCTGGAAAAGCAGAAGAATGTGACTCAGTTACTCGGTACTTTCCATTCACATGGGAACATGGGGTTGATTTAGAGACTCCTGTCTTCTGCCTGGCTCAGATCTGCTCATTATCCATTTATGGAGTAAACCAAGGAAAGGAAGATCTCTCTGTCTCTCTCTCTGTCTTCCCTTCCCTTCTTCTTCTTTTTTTTTTTTTAAAGATTTATTTATTTTATTGGAAAGGCAGATACAACAGAAAGGAGGAGAGACAGAGCGGAAGATCTTCTGTCTGATGATTCACTCACCAAGTGTCCACAACGACCAGTGCTGCGCCATTCCAAAGCCAGGAGCCAGGAGCCAGAAACTTCTTTCTGGGTCTCCCACGCAGGTGCAGGATCCCAAGGCCACAGGGAGCTGGATGGGAAGTGGAGCGGCCAGGATTAGAACCGGTGCCCATATGCGATCCCGGTGTGTTCAAGGTGAAGACCTTAACCACTACGCTATCATGCAGGGCCTTTCCCTTATTTTCTATAATGATGCTTTTAAATAAACACATAAAGAAATATTTTTTTAAAAAATGTATTTCTCATTGAAATGGAATGTAATGCATCTATCTGTATGTAAAAGTGACTACTATTGAGATTTATCATTAAAATACAATATCAAGATTGTACAAGTACAAACAAAAATGTTGACCAAAAACCAAAAAATTAAATCTATCATTCAAATTTTATTAAATATTAATTTTCATTTGACAGGGATATTTACAGAGAGAAGGAAAGGCAGAGAAAAATAGCTGTTCACTGATTCAGTCCCCAAGTGGCTGCAATGGCTGGAGCTGAGATAATCTGAATCAAGCATCCAAAATCTTCTTCCAGGTCTCCCCGGCAGGTCTGGGGTCCGACCTCTCTGAGCCTTCCATGACTGCTGTTCCAGGCCATGACCAGAGAGCCGAATGGAAAATGGAGCAGTTGGGACACAAACTGGAGACTGTATGGCATCCCAGTGCATGCAATGTAAGAACTTTAGCCACCAGGTTACTGTGTTGGGACCTCATTGAAATATTTTTAGTTGATATACCACATTACACATTTTAAATAATTAAATACAGGATTTTATTACAGTTTTTGTTTTGCTTGTGTATGTTTTATTCTGTAGATTTATTATTATTGTTTAAACATGCTACTTCTTGAAATAGTTTTCTTAGTGACTTTAATGAAAGAGAAGTTACTTCATATTGAAAAAACTATATTTAAATAAAACGGACATCATACTTTGATTTAGTGATGGCCTTGAATCATACTTTCAGAGATTGGAGTGTGTTTTAATTTAATTATGTTCATTTGGCTCCATTTATCTCTTTATGTTTATGTATTTATTTCCCAAAGTGAAATTACTTTATTTCTACATGCCCCTCAATGATAGCTTCTGTCATCGACTGATGAAGATGATGGTATGTTATATCCCAAGAAATACTATTGGATATTTCCTTTGGCTTATTAGGGCTATTACTATAAGATGAATCCTTTTTTTTCTCTATTATTTGTATTTAACATAATAAGCCAGTTTAGAAAAATAGGACCGATCTCTAATTTATACCCTATTCTTAATTGATATTTTTTTATCACTTAATATTGTCTGCAATACATTGAAAATATCATGAGGATAAGGACTTTACTCACAGTCTACGTTTCAAGCATATAGAAATGAATAGTTCCATTTGTAATCCTTTAGCTTCTCACAGCGTTTGATATAACATGGATGTCAGATGGCTGGACTTCAAAGACATGCTGAGATTTTTGAAACACTTCTCTGGTTCTTGTCTATTAATAAATTTTCTGACAGCATCCTGCTGTGTAGCAAAACTCAGTGACAACTTTCAGATATGTGTTGCCAAGAAAGAATTGGAGTGAATGTAATTTTCATCTGGTGCAATTTATGACATGATCTTCGCCTTTTTGTTATCATGACTGTAGTAAGGATAACTCAACATGAACTCAATCCTCCTAGTAAATTTAAAAATGTGTAATATAATACCATTAACAGCAATCACAATACTGTACAGCAAACATCTAAAGTAGTTTACCTTATATAATCAAAACTTTACTCTTTAATTGACAACATCCCACTTCACCCAGGTCCTGACAGCCACAATTCTACTCTTTACATTTTTTAATTAACTGATTTATTTGAAAGGAAGAATTGAAGGGAGATAAGGAAAGACACACAGAAGAAAAAAGGGGGTTGTGGGAAGCAGCTTCCATCCACTGGTTCATTCCCCTAGTAGTTGCAACAAATGGAGCTGGGCCATGCTGAAGGCAGAGCCTGGAGTACCACCCAGCTCTCTCATTGTTACTTGAGACATCTTCTGCTTTCTTTGGCACATTTCTTTGGCATCTTGTCAAAAGTTTACATCCCCAACTAAAGGAAATCTCAGCTTGGTGAAGCTGGCAAACACCACAAGACACAAGACGCCTGACAAGCCATGTATTTCAGGAATGCTTAACAGGGTGTGTGTGTAAGATCTGAAATACAGTAAGACAACCGTTCCCTGAAGTCAGCCACCAGAGCAGGGCAGGAAAGCCTGGAAGGCTGGACTGTCAACAGAGTAGTCCCCTAAATCTGCCTTGGGGGTGCAGGCTGGGGCATGGGCTGGGGTGCAAACAGTCCCATATGAATTGCCCCAGAGAAGGGAGGAGAAATGTTCCAGAACATGGCATGTTTACAACTTCTTGGCTTCACATCACTGTCTTAAAAGCACCAGCCTGAATGCCTTTCTTGTTAGCTGCAGATGAGCCCTAGGACATTGTAAGCTTCCCAGGAGAAAAATCCCATTTTCTAAGAGAAGATGTCACGTTCCCCTGCTCACCAGGCATTCAGGCAGTGATGTGGCCACCAGACAAAGCTTGGACCCCTTTCCTGTGGACACAGGGCGTCACAAACTGACTGAAGGTCAGGTCTCATTGTACTCCTTGATTCTGGATCTGTTGAGTGGCTGGGCACTCCGCCTTCTGGGTGGAATCGTGTCCTTCCCAAAGGTTTTTGATGACCTGGCCCTGTGATGACCTTAACACCTGTTAACTTGACCTTATTTGGGCATGTGTTGTTCACAGGTGATCAGGTTAGCATGAGCTCATAAGGGTGGGCCCACTGTCTACTGTGTTCTTCCCTAAGGGAAACTGTGGACTGTGAGACAAATACAGAGGAGACAAGTTTTATAGCCACAAGGGGAAGAACTTACAGGAGTTAGGAGAGGCTGCTGTGGGGGGAATGCTTATGTCACCTAGTACCGCTTGCCTGATTGGTATGCTGAAATCCTAATTTGCCTGACTTGAAGGGATTATGGGTGGGCCCTTCTTGATGTGCTAAGGCATCCAATGCAAGCGGACAAATGTAGTCTGCTCCTGGTTGGAATGCCTACATCATATATCAAGTGATAAAATCACGTTGCAGCTTCTCTCTTACTCTCAGGTTCTTGTTAACATGCATCGTGGGGCCTGGCGCCATAGAATGGTAGCTGAAGTAGTCACCTTGAATGTGCCAGGATCCCATATGGGCACCAGTTCTAATCCTAGCAGCCCAGCTTCCCATTCAGCTCCTTACTTGTGGCCTGGGAAAGCAGTTGAAGATGGCACAAAGCTTTGGGACCCTGCACCCGTGTGGGAGACCCAGATGAAACTCCTGGCTCCTGGCTTCAGATTGGCTCAGCTCCAACCGTCGCGGCTGCTTGGGGAGTGAGTCATCCGTAGGAAGTTCTTCCTCTCTGTCTCTCTTCCTTTCTGTACATCTGACTTTCCAATAAAAATAAATAAATCTTTAAAAAAAAAAGAAACATGCATTGTGGTCAGCAGTGGTAAGCAGTCAGGTGCATGAGAGCCTGCCATGGGAGACTTGGAATTGTTTCCAAGTTTTTGGTTTTGACTTGGCTCAGGGCTAGCAATTCTAGGCACTGAGAGAGTGAACTAGTGAATGGATGATCTTTCTCTGTTCCTGTCACTCTCTCTTCTTATGTAAAAATAGGGTAAAATTCTTTTTAAGATTCTACCATATACTGGAGGCTGGGATGAGTAAGGAAACAGTAATTTATTTTCATAATTGGGAAAAAAAATACTTAGAATTCAGACACATGTTTTTTTTAGTTTAGTTACACGAAGAAACATTTGGCAATAGGTTATGTAACAGTAGTAGAACCAGCAATGACTAAATATTTTATGGATTAGTATGACCTTGAGTGATGAATTGAAAGAAGTGGGGTTGATTTTCCTGCATTAGAGTATGTGGATTGAGATGTTTGCAAGTAGTGGTGAATATCAGTGCCTGTTAATATTATTATTATTTTTTAACATAGAGGTCAAACTACAAGTATTCAAAAGCACTTGAATTTCTGGACTAGGTCAATGGAAGTTTTGGTAGCCAACTCCGTTCCTTGGGGCTGCGTGCCAGCTGTGGTCCTACAGATAAGCCAGTCTGCATTTATAAGACAGAAGAAACCAAGACATTGTCATCTTAAAACCAATGCTAACAAGGGATTGCAGTGACATTTCTTTATGAAAATTGTTTATCTTTGGTCCCTTTGTGTGTTTCTATGCAAGAATATAAATCACTTCTGAAGCTGAGATTATTTTCTGCTGTTATGCCGCACCAAGAATATTGAACTTTAATTAGTCTAAGAAATGTAGATTTTATTTATTTACAAATCAAATTAAAATATACATTCAGATTGAAATATATGCGCTTGATTGATACCCTTGTAAAAGTATGCATTTGCTTTAATGTACCTGAAGGTATTTTTCCTGAAAGCCCTTAATTTTCCTGAAATCAAAATAATTTGTAAATGCTTGCTTTAGAAGAAAGTAAAGCCTGAAACAGCATGCGACTTCACTATTATACATTAAGAAATTTTTTTCTTGTGCTTGCTTCAGCAGCACATATACCAAAATAGGAATGATACAGAGAAGATTAGCATGGTCCTTGCACAAGCATGGCACACAAATTTGTGAAGCGTTCCATATATTTAATCTCACTTGAATACTATAAATTGCTAAATATAAATATAACAAAAAACGAAAAGCTAAAAAAGAATTTTTTTCATAGCAAAAGTCTATACTTTCAATAATAAGCAACATGTTTTTAAATTAGACATTTGGAGAATTACTGAATTTTCCATATTAGGTTTCAAACAAATTATTTAATGTTAAACAAAGAATTGTTGTGTTTTTGCTAAGTAAAATGATTTGCCATTAGAAAAATGTCACGTTACTCACACCATCCTGGTAATGACTGCTAGCTCTGTACTAGGTGTCTCACCTCTTGAACTAATTGTAGCATCTCCCTGCTTCAGAACAATGCACATATGTCCAAACTGTAGATGGATTTATGAGATTTGCAACCCATTCGGGCCAAGATTCAGTAATATCAAGTTCACATTATTATATCATAAGGAAATGCATGTATACTTTGTATAAATACAATCACTAATGTTGAGTACCTTGATGATGATATATCATGTACTATGAGATTTATACAAATAACAGAATTATGAATAGTATTCTCTATGTCTTATTAAAAACTTGAACTGTGAGGAGTAGGACTTGTGGTGGAGTGGGTTAAGCTGCTGTTAGGGTGTCTACTGCAGTATCAGAATATCAGTGGCAAGTCTAGAAGGAGTTCTATGCTCCTGGCTAAGGCGTGGTCTGGTCCAAATGCTGTAAGCAGGTGAGTGTTCTTTCCTCGCACTTAATCTGACTCTCAATAAACAATATGCTTATTTTTAAAGAAAATAAAATACAACTCTACTCACAATTATGTTTTTATAACTTCCTTTGTTTTTATTAATGTAGAAAAATAAGTTCATGTATTTCATAGATACCATTCCAAGAGGGTAACCATACATCCCTCCCTTCCTCCATTAATTCTCTCTCCTTCCTTTATTTTCTCTTAACTTTTGAAATCATGTGTTTTGATATGTTGGTAATCTCTGACATAATTCATCATTATCCACCATGTTCAACAACCAAAAAAGTGGGCAGACTATTCTTTCCAGATAAGCACCATAAACAATAATCAGATCATAAAATATTATTTTCACTATTAAATTTTTCAATTTTTTAACTACCACATTTTCCATAAGCTCAAACATACTTTATAATATTAAAACTTCAAAAATTACTATAAAACCCCATTTGCTGATTTTAAGTGCATTTACTTATGTCATCACAGATGCATTTCCTGTACTTTTTAAAACTTTTTTTTATTTATTGCTTTGAAAGCAGCTATAGACTGAGAATGAGGGATGGAGGAAGATTTTCAAACTGTGCATTACTTCTCCCAAATGCACATAATAGGCATGGTTGGGCCACAGGGAAAACAGGAATTCCATGTGAGCCACTGTGTGAGTGCCAAATACTTGGGCTGTCATTAGCTCCTGCTGCAGTGATCATCAGCGAGACGCTGGATGGGATGCAAAGGCAGCACTGGGTCATAGACAACTCTGATAGGGTTTCCGATGCTCCAAGCAACTCCGCAATGCACTGCATCACAGTGCCTGCTCAAAAGTCTCCTGTTTTAAATTGTCATAGTGCTACACAAAGTTTTGGATAGCACTACAAAGGAAGACATGATAGCAATATATTCCTTTGTGTGCTCAGACATCATCTTAATAGATTCTTCCTACCCAAAGTGCATGTTGGTAGCAATATAGGAACATTTTTAACACAGTGAGGATAACAAACTTTGGAACTCAGATCATGTTTGTGTGTTGCTGTATAAAGAAATAGGTCATTCTGCCATTTCTTCACTCTAAGAAACAATGTTCTAAATATATACACACGTCATACTTTCCTTGAAAGCTTCGATTTTTCCTTTGACAACTTTTTACCATTTATTCATATTCATATAAATATTGAGATGTGATAGCTAGTTTCCAAGTTCCAGCACATTCATTTTTGCCCAAGAGAGATGTGCTTTTCATCTGGCTGCCAAGTGCCTACCTGGGACTCATTTCTTTCCTCAGTCTTAATTACAGTGGAATTATACATACTGCTTTATTTTATTCTAATTACAATAAATAAGAGCAATAACTTTATGGTAAAAAGTATGCATAATCAGAGTTGAGAAATACATTGAAGCAGGCAATGTCTGTTAAGAGGGATAAAGTTTTAATCATTTACATTTAAAGGGGACATTAATAAGTATTCCTAATTTATCACCATTTTCTGAAAGATATACATTCTTTGAATTAGTAAGACAATATCAGTAGAATTACAATTAATACATACAGTTACTGAACAATCAAGTCTGAAATTATACATATATATACTATATTATTATACATATATAGGATATATATATCTGAAAATATACATATATATCATGGCACTTGTTCACAGTGTTACTGATCCAGGTAATATAACTCAGCTGGAAACATTTTAAGCACTCCCTTTGCAAAGCCATTACAGACTGGCCTGCTGCTTCATATAATTTCCATGATAAGCTGCTGAAAATTTAATTGGCTTCAACTGTAAAATATTTCTTCATAAAGTAACTACAACAGATGAATAAACCTCTTTGATTCATTTATTTATAGCAACTTAAGGGAGCTCATTAACACATTTCCTTTGCAGATATTTGTATTAAAAAGGGATCTACATTGAAATATTCCAAGGATCTTTATGAACCCATATACTCTACCATAAAATCATGTTTGCGGATGAAAAATTTGATTAAGTGATTTAAGTATCTGCTTAGTTTACTGTCAGAAATAGCAAGTACCATTTTTCTCCTATTGAGATATAATAAAAGTTGCTACTGAATTAATATTTTTCACGAGTCTCATTTTTAAATGCTGCTAGTTATTCCTCACATAGAGCTTTTTCTTAAAATGTTATAGTTTGAGACTTGACCACAAGCCCACATTCTTTTACAAGTCCATATTTTACGTGTTGTTATTTAATGGTTCAATTTATTGTGAATTGCTTTTTACATTTTTTCAATATCAATCAATCTCCATAAAAAGGTGCACAGTATCCCTCAATTTTCCTTATAATAAAATTGCAGATTGCATTGAATACATAGATGACATTAAGCAAAAAATCTTACTACTAATTTGAGTATAGGCATATTGAAAAAACTGAAGGTTTATTTTTATGAAAAGCAAGTTTTTTCACTGAGTATGCATCTTGCACATTAAATATTAGAAAAACAGAAAGAGAGGAGCACAAAGAATCATGAGGATGCATTTATTTCTTATTAAAGACCCTTAGGTGTATTAGAGATAAAGGGAAAGCTTTGAGAGGTAAGATGACAGATATTCCAATAGAGGATATTTAATATGCGTACCCTCAGGGGCCAGCATTGTAGTATTGCATGTAAAATCTGCAATGCGAAACTGGATATACTTTTGTCAAGCTCTTTCTGCCAATGTTATCCTTAAAAGCAGAGGGAGATGGTCCACGTACCTAGGTCCCTGACGCCCCAAATGGGAGACCCGCAAGAAACTCCTGGCTTCTGGCTTCAGCTAGTCTCTGTTCTCTCCAGGTTCTGTTCTCTCCAGGTTCTGTTCTAACGTGTGCTTTGATGATCATGACAGCTCAAATTTTTTAAATGTAAATGGAATACTCACTACGTTTTGAGTGGTTTATTTCATTTAATATAATATGCTGATGGTTGATGGTGCGCACTTTTTTCCTTTGGCTAAACAATCTTGTTTTTAAAAATATATATTATATTAGACTTATTCATACATCTATCTACCAGCATTTGGATTTCTTCTGTGTTTTAGCTCTTATGAGCAACACTGCTATGGATATGCTTATACAAGTAGCTTTTTGTGACTGCTTCCTGTACTTCTGAGTGTACACTTAGAAGAGGAATTTTGAATAACAAGATAACGTCTTTTATATGGGGGCTGCAGTCTTTTCCAGTATCACCATGTATTCTGATGATTAAATTTGCATTAGTTGTATGGCCTGCAAATATTTCCTCTTCCATATCTGTCACTTTCAGTGTTACATAATATTTTGATGTACATTTTTAAAAGTACTCCTGAATTTGTGGACAATGTTTATTTAGTATATAGAAATCAATGAACTCTGAACTCTGTAATTCTTTCAAAATGTGCGTGCATAACTAAATGTGTATTTTTCATGACAATGTTGTATATTAAATCTCACAATTCATATGTGATAATAAGACTCTTGCTATACTTAACTGAGTAATTCTCTACTTTCTTCATACTTCATATAAATAGCAACACACTTATCTACTATTAGCCTGTTTCTCTTGAAAATGTTATTTGTAAATGAATTACTGTTACACATTTAGAATGCATAGAATTATTTTAGTGGGATAATACTCTAGTTCTTTTCTGTGATTTTAGAAAATGCTAAATCTCAAATGATACAGTGCAGAAACAATATCATATAAATGTTCTTACTATTGTTGAGTCTGAGATTTGTCTCCATGGACACTGATCCAAGTTAACACTCAGCGTTTCATAGCCTCACATTGACTCTGAAGTGCTGAGAAATGAAGCAGCCTGCATTCAAAATTGAAGTGACTACAAATTAAACATGGTGTATATTAAATTTAACTTATCAGATTTTCTTTATAAAACATATTGAAAATAGGCTATTGACATCTCCATAATGTTGATGCAGCAAATATAATGACTTTCTTTAATGCTGTTGTTATGTCAATGATTTTAATGCTTATTCTATTTGATGATTGCAGTGGTCTCTGTGGAAGGCAAAGATTAGAATGCAAGGTGTATGATGTGATGAAGGACCACCAGTATATCCATAAAATTTGAGTCATTTTATAATTAGAATCCCTACTGACTTTGAGATTGTGAATTCTGTCTAGATATATTTGTTTGTATTTTTAGGAAATAAGAGGATAAAGATTGACTTATAGTGTAAATAAATGGACAAATTAACTCAATAACATTATTGAGGGATTGTTTCAGGAATTGTCTTTCTTTTGGCTGAATCTCATTGGTGAAAAGCAGCTGCCACTGT